CCAAACCAATCCATCAAAACTAGCTAACAGTTCTCGAATAAGGACAACACAGTACGCCAAAATAGGCTCTCGGGTAGGAGCTAAGGCCAACAAAAATTAAAACCCAAGCCACTTCTCGGGTAGGTGCAGGACAAGGCGAAACCGAGCTCCCAGCTAGAGCCAAACCGAGCCACAGCTGAGGTTCAAACCCAGGCCACAACTAAGACTAGAAAACATCTCTATGCCTTCAAAACATCAAAATATAAGACTACCATATGTTTCAAACAAGAATGGCTATGGAACTCCTCCAAATCAAAATAAATTCCTCCACAATATGTATATTTAAGCCAAAACACTCACAAGGTGCCAAAACTGAGCCCAGCAGGGGCTAAAGCCAAACCAAATGACTTACCAACAAGCTCACGGGTAGGACTAAGAACAAACCAAATCAAGCTCCCAAGCTACCTCTTGGGTAGGAGCTAAGGAAAGCAAACTGAACCCTCAAACAAAGCCAAACCGAACCCTTCAAGGCCCAGAAGTAAAGTTCGAGCAATTAGGACAAAGCTTCAGCAAAAACCAAAAGCCCATCCTCAATAGAAATTAAAACTCCAGCCACCTTAAGGTAAAATCGAATCCAAAGCCAAGGAACAACAACCCACATGCCTTTGAAACATCAAGATATGGAGCCAATATACATCTTAAATAAGAACAACAGCATAGAGAGCATATTTGGGCCACCAACCTAACTATTCCAAGCATGCAACAATTTCCAACAGATATTTGAGCAGGGAAGATGCCTCACGAAGAGCTAAACCAAACCCTCAAAACAAGTTACAGAGCTTTCCAAATCACAGAAAATTTTTTGATAGCATGCATTTCAGGCCAGAAAAAGCCACAGGGAATCAAAAATCGAATTTCACATATATATGAAAAGCAAAACAAGTTTTCCAATACTTCATGTTAAGCAAGAGTAATAACAAAAGAGAAGCCTTGTAGTGCATCCCAACATGTATTCCAGAGGAGCATATGTTATCTCAGAGCCCATATTCATCACATTTCCAGTTGCCTTAAGTAAGAAAAAAAAAAGTAAAAGAAAAGAGAGAAGCCAATAACATGCCACATTCTCACTATCCTAAGCAAATAACCATGTCCAACCCCTAAAACATGTCTGTTAAAACATGTTTACATGCTCAAGTAATAAATATCTCAAAGTATAGGCGCAATAATAAACTAGCATGTTGTACCATCCAACAGAGCCATTCTTAGTGGCTCGGCAAAGAGAAAACCGAAAGGAAGCAAGGCACAAAGGGGGGGAGGAAGGTACCTCCTTAAAGCAGAATGTAATACATGGATTTCAGAAAGAGAATACTTCACAACCTACACTCCTCTTCAACAACCAGAGGAAGTCGACCCCAGCACTAGGAACTAAAGAAGAAAGTTAGCAAGAAATTTGGCAGAGTTTTTCCTTTCGAAAATTTTCGACTCCCTGAAATGCACCAACGAAAGTCTCATATAGATCAGAGAACAGGAGAAGGAATGATTAGGAGATCGTATACGATTCGAAGGATCGAGAGGAGCAGACGCCTCCATACGGGCGTGCGAGAGGCGGCAGAGGATATCCTCACAGAGGATGAGATACGATAAGGGATGGGTCGCGGGGGTCGCGGGATCGTCCTGCGTGCGCGAGTCGAGCGCGTGAACGAGGCTCCAACGGTACGAAGGAGTGGGCCAGGCGAAATCGAGCGAACCGCGGCTAGGGCAGAGGTCCACGAGCGCGGGAGGAAGAAACGGGAGAGGGGAAAATGAAATTAGTTTAAGGATTTTTATGATTTTTAATATAGGTTATTAATAATAATAATAATAATAATAATAAAATATTATTTATTATTATAATTAACATTTAAATATGTATTTTCCCGAAGACGCGCCGTCACAATGAAACAAACGTTCCCCTAGGCAAAATCGATGTTCCGGACGCATTGACGCAGTCCGTTTCGTCATCCGGAGTCGTCCGGGCAACCTCGTCGTCGATCATGTCAAAAATGCGTCGCGGTCCGAATTCTATCAAAATTTCGATATGAGTTCAATCAAATTGGATGGTGCGGAGGATGGCGTCGCCAAATCAACGAGTACAGTCAATCCTAAGGCCGACTGTCCTATAGAAATACTCTCTGAGTTTCTTCAGAGCAGTCTTACCTGCTAAGCAATAGCGGTCAAAACTACTATATGGAACGTCAAGTCGAGCGAAGAAAAGTTTAGAACTCTTAACGGGGAGGGCTCCTTCACTAGTTTTCTAGGAGTAGTCGACAGAAAGGTCCTACGGCTAGATCCTAGGCTACTAAGGAGGGGAAAATTGTACCTCGACCGAAAGGGAAGTCAACACAAACGTAATCAAATGAAAAATTTCATGCTTCAAATATAATTATGATGTTCTTTACCAAATCAGAGCCCAAATACATTAAGCGAATCTAAAAAAATTGATGGCCACGACAGTATACCAAAAATGCAATTTATATTTTCGTAATTAAACTCTATAAAAAATATCTAACAAAAATACAATGAAAAATATTGTAAAATAATTATTTTCGTAATAAAAACTAATGTCCATTCGTGTGAAGGAGAAACAAGAAAATCAAAAAATTTGCATGAGGTAGAAAAAAAATTGAAGATGAATATAAAGAAAAGTATCCTTTCACAAGATCTCTTCCCTATCCACCCTCTAAATATGAGGATAAAAATCTAAAAAAGAAAAAAAAATTGATATTTTCGGCTAGGGCACGATCGGTGGGAAGTGTCGGCAAGCTTCGACCAATAAGATGAAGGAAGGCAGAAGAGAGGAGGTTACTTGGGAAGAATGGGGCGAAGGAACCGAACGCAAGAGCGGGGCGATGGGGGTGAAGGATCCGAACGCAAGAAGAACAGGGCGTACAACCTAGGGCAAGAGCGGGCTATGCGAGAAAGATATGCCTGGGGTAGCGAAAGAAAAAAGGTATGGCTCTTTATTCGGGAACCACAGGACGCACCGCAGCACCCGCGGTCGCGAATACTATCGAATTGCGCCAGCGATTCTGAACTAGGTCGATGAAGCTATGGAGTCATGCACCTCTAAAACACAATTTTGTTTGAAACACTGTTCTAAAATCCAAAGCAAACACACCCTTAAATGTGCTATAAGGATTAGGATTCACAATGATCTCATCATTAAATTTGTAATCTTAAAAGTTGAGCAATGGAATTCTATCAAAACAATGACAGATTCGACTCATGTAGCATACACAAATACAAACTATGATAGTATGGTTGATAGGAGTTCAAGTTTAGGATATTGCGCCTTCTCAATATAGAAAATTTTTTTTTAAAAACAAAATCTCATAACAAGATTTGGTGTATAAGCTAAATTTAGATTTATAATATTTGGAATCTGTGAATTGTTATTGCTAAACATTATTTTGAAAATTTTAAATGTTGAATAAAAAGATCTTGTGAGGCTCCATAATGATAACAAATTAGTCATCAATATTGCACATAATCCCATGCATCATTATCCTGTGACGCTCTACACTTTATAAAGGTGAAGCTTGATATTGATGTACTATGTACTCTACTTTGAACAATAGCTAAACTTGCTAATATTCTTACCAAAGAATTAGAAGGATCCGTTTTTCAGAAATTATTCGTTAAGCTTGGAATAAATGACATCATTTCATCACTTGAGGGGGAGTGTGAAATGGCTTACATAATTTTCTCTAGTTGGGACCCACACCAAGAATTTTGCCTTATTTACATCTTATTCCATTGCCACCTCATAGATTTATGGGATCCTATTGCCAAACTAATCATCTGCTGACTACTGTAATTACTATTCTCTATTTTAGTTTATTTTCCATCAGAAGCTCTAGGATTGGATAATTACTACACAAATGTTGTTGTGAAATACTCAACTATTCTTGTCAGAATTATACCAGCTATTAATTAAAATATGGATGAAAAATGAAAACTATCTGTAGGCTTTCAAATGATTCATGTTATAATTTAATATTATCATGCAACTGCGCTTGGTATCCACAAAAAAGCATTGCCAACTAGTATTCTGATTTCAATCTATATAAAAAGTTAAAAAAAAAAATCTAGAGATTGAGAGGTATATGAATACAACAATAAATGCTGCATAAGAGTTACTAGAGATGAGACCACTCCAAATCCTTGTGATTCTTTGTTGCCATTGTAAGTATAGGTCTTCATTTTTGGAACAATAACAATCAGTGTCACCTGCTTGACATCAAGAACATATAAGAACACAAAGATGGATGGGAAAGATAATAGATTTAGCAAGAGGAAAATTGAAGAGGACTTAGTTGGACATGATTCTATTTCTTCTTTGGAGCTCCACAGATGGAAAATAAGAACTTCATATCCATAAGACAAAAATTTAATTCATAGAAAGAGATGGGTTTACATCATTAGGACATGGAGAAAAGAGAACAAAAGCCTTTTATTCTAGGTAGTCATAGATGTTAAAATGTCAAATACTGTGTAAAATAACTAAATATTATTTTTCTTTGAACTATGGCAGTGGTCAAGCATGTCATTGCACTATACAAAACTGTTGGTGGTCCATATAGTACAATTAAGCTGCATTTTTTGTATCCAAAATTAATAAAAAGTGCATAAAAATGCATTGTAAGGTGTCATTGCAGTCAATTCCCTAAAATTCAGTTACAAGAAATCCCACCTAAAATTTAGTTACAAGAAATCCCACTTCATCATAAAATATTGATGATGGAAACCTTCATTAGTTGAGCAAACTTGGAGCTCTACATTCTTCTGGATTAAACATCTCCTTCTGGCTTTTGCATCATCTGTCAACTTTGCATCTTTTTCTGGCTATTGACTCAATGAAGCCTTGTTAATTTTCAATAGTGTACGGTTGTTGTACCATTTATTTTACTGGTTGGATTTTGTATCATCTCTGAACTATTATTGCTATCTTCACTTATGCTAATTACCCTGATTATTTTCAGTTTGGTCGATTGATCTTAAAACACTGGTTTTCTCAATTTTGAAGACCCAAGGAAAAATCCCGGTAATGTTTATTTTGTAACATTTCAATAGTACATATTTAATTTTGTTTTGACCTTCATATGTACATCTATTCATATAATATTTAAAAGACTTAACATGAACTATTTTAGTCATTTCATGAATTATGTACACCATCACTACTAGTCTTATCATTGTCTTTAGTCACCCTTTGAAATGATACTAATTTGGCTAAGATTTATGAATTTTCAAATTTCATTAGTTCATGTTGAGCATTGTCTACAGTGTTAAAGCTTATTCTTTGCATTTTTTTCTTACAAATTTTTTCCATTTTATTTTAGTTCTTCGCCATATCTTCCAAATCCATTGAAAATTATTTTACGTACAAATAAAACGGTTACATTTATACACATTTTTTTATCTAAATCGCAAACTTATTTTTTGCTATCTTATTTTTGATAATTTTCAATACAATTAGCCCTTTATCACATGGGTGTTAAATTTCATATCAAAGCTAGCATGTAACTTTTGCTTAATGTCATAACTCAACCCGGAGCTTTAAATTAATTAAAACAAGAACGGACAGTCAGATGGTGAAATTTAAAATCTTCTACATTCATTTTTTTATAACTAATTGTTACAATCAAAAAATTAATTGTAATTCATTAAAAAAACATTTTAATTAACAAATAAAAGTCTATCTTAGGTGCTGACCTTGTCTTCTGTATATATTGTCTTCTCTAGTATTCATCTTTAATTAAAAAAAGAAAGAACTTAAACCTGCAAAGTACTAAAATAACAGAACGAGTTCTACATGATAATTCAGTAGAGTAATCACAATTTTAAACTACAATAATCTAAACAAACAAAATAATAATATGTATTTTCTCTCTCCTAATATATTCTAGAAAATCATATGCTATTTATAGAATATGTTCATGATGTTTGCTCATTGAAGAGATTTAAATTTTTTAAGTGCATGATTTTTTTACTTTTCAAGATGTAATCTTTTAAACTTTAGTATACTTTATATTCTTAACATGCACATTCGTCTTAGGAGCATGGTCAAAACATACTAAAGACACCCATAACCGATATTTTTTTTGTCGACACAGCGGTTCGTCGTCTAATCTACACGATTGTCTGAGGTGAAAAAATACATACTCACCCTTGGTCAATATTCTTCTATTTGTGATCCGAGTTTCATAATTTTTTTAGGTGGTAGGGTGTCTACTCATCTCTGAACGATATTCTCCTACCGACACAACAATTATTGATCAAAGTTTCATAATTGTTTGAGGTGGTTGGAAAACATCTACGCATGTGGGTGTATATTGGCACCCCCAACCAGTACTATGAAATGTTGAATTCCTTCTCTTAGCATGCACATATAAACATTCATATAAATATGATATCTTCATACTTCATAATATACATTATTCACTCATGTGACATTACATTCAAATACCCATGAATAAATGCACTTTTACTAGAATCATTAGGGGAACCATTATGCAACCCTTTTGCATGACTGTTAACATGCATACTCCTAAAGATCATATAATAATATGATATAAATATCTCTACTAGAATCTAAATTTCTTGAAATAATCTAATATTATTTTTAAGAAAATTAATATGCACTATATATGCAACTTAATTAACATACATGGTTCACGTATAACAGTATGAAGAATTAGTCTAAATCTCATTGTATATATTATAAATGTGAAAATTGAAAACATGATTATACATTCTAAAATATGAAAAATTATTAAAATTTAAAACATAATTATTTACCTGAAATTGTTTGAAGTTTTGATTCTTAAGATTATGTAAATGTTTCTAGTCACTTCTGCTTGCTTCAGTACCAATTAACCTATAAGCTATAAAAAATTCAAATCTAAGACCCATGAAGCTATAATTAATCAAATTATTTACTTAACTTGACATATATTTACTCTACTTAAATTATACAAAAAATTCCTTCTCCAAAACTAATGTTTGACTTTATAAAAATTTTGGTACTTGATTTATCCTAATTGTTTTCATTTACCCAAAATTTTAGTCTTTTTAATTATAGACAATGATCTTATAACTTTTATTAAATAAAATTTGTTTTATTTATTATTTATTTTAACTTGAATAGTCTTCGTCTATTATAACCAATATAAAAGAGATCTTGAAAATTAAAATACTATAACTTAATTATTATGTTATGAAATTATTATTTTATAAATATACATTTGAATAAAATAATTCTTTGGAGTTACATTTATTATGATTAAATACATTTTAGATGTGGTGATAGACATTTAGAGAGTAATATTTTTAACCTCTTCGTACTTGATTAAATAAAGTTTGATATTTGTTCTTATGAAATTCTTGCATTACAAAATATCATAATAAAATTCTTCCTATTAAAGAATAACTTATAAATATAAATTATTGATTTCCATTCTTTTAAAAATTTGCAGGAATTTATGGTTTTATACTTAGCTTTTGACATTTCCTCAATTAATTTTCAAAACTAATAATATTTAATTAAACCAATAATAAAACTAATATTAGGATTTTGCCTTTGCTGAACATGATGCCTTAATCCAACATATGCCCAAGCTCGCAAGGTTTTTAAGCTAATTCCTCGTCTCACTTGGCACAGTTTCATTGTTCAAATCTTCTTTTAGCCCGCTTCAGTTCTACTCACGCGTCGACACTTGCTCACGACCTTTAGTTGTGATTCCAACTTAGCACTTACACAAGACTACCCTTGAGAAGTGCGCTGCTTTAAGCGAGATGCACTATTGGCCGTTAAAATTAGGAAAGAGATATTTGATTTAATATAATATAATATATATAGTTTTGAAATGTAATTGTTTAATTAATATGAGACCGAATCGATCTCATATAGACGATAGTTTAAATAAACGAGCACAACATCACAAGCGAAACCATTCATGTTGACCGACGAGAAATAAGCATGTCACTTATCTGTGATGCTCGATTAAATAAATTAAAGAATTTATGACATCTGTTTTAGTTTGTGAAAATTTATGTTGATCGACAAGTTCCCCTACCTAATATTAAGAATTTGATAGGGTTTATATTACCTGGGTTCTTAAAGCTCTCTATAGAGGCAAGTCCCTATAGTTAATTACCTCTCAAATGACTGAAGTCCTTGAAAAAACTCTCGATAATTTCGATGATGATCGGAGGTATCAATCTTCATGAATTCAAAGTTCATGGTTTTCAAAGTTGGACATAGAAAAGTCAAGTGGGAAAATGACCAAATGGGAACATTTACTTCTGGAGTCAATGGAAAGAAAAGTAGGAGATGTCACGGATCCTGAGGAGAATTTCGATGATTTCCCAAACTATCCTATTGTTTGGCTTCAATTTCGAGAAGATGTTATTTGATGTTTCATCCTGCCAGTTTTATTATTTAGGGCTTATATTTGTATGACACGGTCATACAAATGACCTGGAAGATATGAGGGTTTACGTCGTATCGGACGACAACCTCGAAACCTAAAGCGAGTTAGGGCTTAAATTGCACAACATGGTTATGCAAAGGCCTAAAAGATAAAGTGAGGATTTATGTCGCGCTAGACAGACTACCTCGAAGTCCTATGACTTGTTATTTAATTCTTAGGAAATGTTTTGTTATTGTATACTCTCTCGAAGTTGTTCTTCTGTACGTTTTCAACGTGCTGCTCATGATTTTAGCTCCACGTCATAGGAATTTCATGTTTAGTTTATGTTTAAATGTACATGCAATTGTTAGGTCGGTGATCTGTTGTTATGTACCTCCTATAAAACCAAACTACTGTTTTCATATTCTTAAAGGTATAATACATAAAGAAAACAGTAGGAGGTGCAGGAAAGGAAAATAGTAAAAAAATGCAGTAAGGAAAGCAACAGTAAAGAAAACACAATAAATGTACAGTAAATAATAGCAGTAAAGCGCGCAGTAAAGAAAAAAAAACGCTATAAATATAAATTAATTTGTGTACCTGACATGTCTGTTGCTCCTGCAAATGGGATTAACATTACAGATAGAAGTAAACGAGTATAGAAGAAGATTTGATTAGCAAGGTAAACATGAATGTATATGTGTGTAAAAGTCTATTGACAAAGCATCTCATGGAAAACTCGATGAAAAACTGGGAGTGACCCACGAATTAATGAAAATCGTAGAAAATGCATGGGACACTAAAGAAAACCGTAAGCACTTGGGTCAAAATCAAGAAGTAAGAAAAGGTGATCCGACACTATACATGTGTGATCCGACACTATACATGTGTGATCCAACAAAATAATCAACACTATACATGTGTGATCCAACACTAAGTAAAAGGTCACCGACCTAACAGTCACAGAAAAGGGTAATCCCTAACCTAGTTCATATGACTGACCCGTGAAATTTTTAGAAAATATTTAGAAAAGATTTCATTTTTCAAAAGAAATTTTGATTTGTCATGCGTCATGCACTTGTTGTCATGCACTTGAAAGATTTTTTTTTAGTTAATTATGTGTGTACATATGTATCACTTAAATAAATTTTCATGTTTTATAAAGTTAACAAGTCAGTCATATTGGTAGGCTGGAACTTCTCACTGTCTGTAAAAGCAAGTTATAACTCTTTACTAAGTGTTAGAGATCGCTAATTTCAATCTTTCATTCTCTCAAAGTCACTGAGTCAAGATTGTGCTAGAACCTCTCACACGTACCTAGATGCATTTTTCATCATTGTTCTTAAACCCCGAAACCGATCTACTTATAGACTTTCTTGATGGTTCGTATATAGAGGGAGCTATATATGTGTGCTTATGCTTCGGACATAAGCACCTAAACCAAACCAAGAAGTAAGAAAAGAAAAGAAGAAAAATGGGGTGAGAAAGAGGAGGGATCAATCCATTTGAATACGAAAATAGTAAATGATGGATCTACTCTCAAAGCTACATTCAAAACCGAATCTAAAATAAATCCCCACATCCAACGATGTGCGTTTGAAATGCTCATTTAATACTTCGCAACAATGCT